GTAACTTTAGTCAGAGTTTTGGGACAATCAGTTCTTTGGCAAAGTGTCGGCACCATATTGCAGAGATCTATATAAAATAAGAATTTTAAAGAGCAGACTGTGGGACCATCTAAACAGATGTATAAAAATTTAAAGCACGCTTGGATGAATAATTATCACCCTATTATTAGTAAAGCAGGAGCTGAGAAAAAATTAAAGATATTTCCTGAAAGTAAGCTGATTGTTGGAAGTGATCTTAACAGTTTATATCTTAAGTCTAAGAAATTTATTGCTTAAAAGCTTGAGCATAATGTTTTTCCTTGTAATGATTATAATCACTTGGTAAAATACCTTGCATTATATGTCAATTTAATGTCAATTCACCGAAGCTTGAAAGGTTTAGATTAGTATTATGGTTAGCACATAGATCTAGTATTATGGTTAGCACCTACCAGGTGCTAACCATAATACTAGATTTATGTGTGACAGTATCTACTTGGGGCTTCTGGATATTACGTCTCCTATTATTAACTTCCTGAGTGATGATCAGAAAACTTTAGTCTCTAAGGCCAACTTTATTGTTGCCCTATACTTTGCTACTTCATTTCTCAAATCCAGCAAAGTTGAACATGCAGTAGTAATTGAAATTTTTATCATAAAATCTATTAAAAAAAGGATAAGAAATAAACGTAAATTAATTTAAATGCTCTGTTCAAATATTTGCTTTTATGTAAATATTATCTGACCCTTTCATTTTACTTTACAGATATAAAAAATTTCTTAAAATATAATAGCCAATGATTATGAAAGGTTTCCACGTAAATCTCTAAGGACTAGAAATGATCGGAGTACTGTAAGAAAGAAAAACGAGGAAAGCTGCTTAATAAATACACGATGCAGAAGTATTCCTCCAATAAGATATACCTCTCCTAGGACTAGCATGGATTGTCAACCAGGAACCTCAGGTATTTGGTTGACAATCCCTGCAATAAGTTTAGCTCCACAGAAAACTAATAGGTGTAAACGAACAATCTACATAATTCAGCATCCACTACAAATGTTTGCACCTAAAAGATATTTTTTTAAAATTTAATTAAAATAATGAATTAAAAAAGCTTTTTTAAGGTAAAAAACTTTTGAAACAAATATATAAAGACTTTTTCTTTCCTTTTAAATTTTGCTTAGACTTAGACACGGGGAGAAATTTGTCGTTGAATATATTGGCTCAGGTCAAGTAAGATTAATCAAAATGCAAAACTATCCTGTGCACAAAAGACAATGAAAAGACCTATGCTTTGCATTAGAGGGGAGCGTAAGAAAAGTTAAAGGGAAGAATTTACTGGAGTATGCATTATAAGATGTTTAGTCTTTGGATTAGGGTGGGTTTGACTCAAGATTTCGGGTTGCAGAACAAGTAGTGAAGAAAAAGCTTGAGAAATCTTATGAACGCTACAAGAAACTGTGTAGTCTTAGAACCCTTATGGAAATAAACAAGATCAAAGAAAAGCAATTAAAAAAAAACAGAGAATTTTATAAAAGAAGCTAACTGTACTTTTCCTGTTTATAAAACAAACATCTTAAAACTTATAAAAGATGACGAAAATAGAAAAAAACAAGCAAAGACAGAAGATATTGAGTTTCTGAAAAAAGCATTCAAAGGTGAAGTGGTTAAGTTTGACATTAGAAAAGATAAATCTTATCGAAAAAATATTATAGACGGGGAAATAGCCAATGTTAGATATGATAGAAAGTATGCGTAGAGAAGAACGACATAAATAAAAAAATAAGAAATGTCAAAGAAAAAAGCTATAGAGAATATAGAAAGAATGAAAGATTTTGATATAGAATTATCTTCAAGTAGTACGAGTGCCGCTGATACCGACAGTGAATTTAAGCCATCCCAAAAAAAAAAAAAAAGCAGTGAAGATAGAGTTTACATGGAGCTTTTAATAAATTATGTTCTTGACAAGTGGTTTCCTTTCTTGACTCGGTAAAAGGTTAATGTTCGAGCTGAAACTTCCCTTCTTTCCTCACTTTTCAAGATAGGTGGTGTTGATCTTAATACAGTTATTTACAAATCGTTATCTTTTTGAAACGTTTATAAAACGTTTAAAATGCTCGCTGGATCAACAATTTTAACTTTTTTAATGCTATGTTGTTGTTTTGCTTTAAAAAATGTTTAATGCTATGCTGTTGGTTTGCTTTACAAAATTTTTTAAATTCATAATGTACTTGGATATCCATTCTTGAATTTAGGTGATTAACTGTTTTTTAATAACTTTTTCCGTTTTAAAACTAATCAGCTCTCTCCTATTTTCCCTTATAATTTTTTTATCTTTTAATGTCATTTCAAAGTAGTCTCGGGTATTTGGTTTTTTTTTGGTGCACCGTAAACTGATAAACCAGTTTTTCTAATACCATTTAGAGCTACCTTAAACGTCTTTATAAGATATTGCTTACAAATGTTTTGAACCGTACTAATTTAAGCGTTTTCCATTATTAAACCTCAAGAACAAATTTCATATACATAGAAAAATTAAATTATTTTTCTAAAATCAATTACAATCATTAAACAAGTTATTTTAGGCATTACAGATTTATTTAAACATTAAGCTGATATAAACAGTGCATATTAAGAGGTATGTGATTAACATTGAGCATAGAATTTATTCTTTTTATGAATAAACTTTACCTTTTTGAATTTTATCAGGAAATAGTCTAGAGTGTGTTGAATTTTATCAGGAAAGGTAGAGTGGTGTAGCATATTAGACACATTTAAAAAAAAAAAAATTTTCTAGAAAAAAAAAAAGAAGTTTATAATATTTCTCCGTGTTGACGATTGGTATTGCTGCCATAAACTGTTAAAAGTTCAAATTGTGTGGGTAATACTATTATTCAATTAAAATGTATACTGGCACTAACTTAACTTAAAAAAAACTTCCCATTTTTTAGCTGTGCTTGTGGATTTCACTGGTATAGAGCTTATATTATTTATGTCATTGGTTGCCGTTGTAATCTTATTTTAATTTCCAATATTACTTGCGCTGATAATTACACTTAATGTCAGTGGTTTCTGCGGTATAAAATTTCTCATATTATTCTGCTTTTTGTGCTAAAATCTCTACAAGTTTTAAAAGCTGTTGAAGCATTGTTTTGAATGAGCCACTGTAATCAAGTTCAGCAATTGTCGAAAAGTTTCTTCATCTACATTTATATCATTTCCTTTGAGAAGCTTTTACTGTCTTAAAAGCACCTTCATCTAAAAACTGTAAAATGCTACTAACATAGCAGGTAAACAAAGCTACTAACATACTGCTACTAGCAGGATGGGCACAAAGTTGCCCAACTTTGTCAGCATAAGTCAACAGCAGTTTTTGGTTTGTGAACATTCAATTAAGTTATATTATCTATTAAAATTTATTATCATGTTACTCGCCATTCAATTAAGTCTCATCCTTTTATTTTGGCTGTTCATAAAAGCTTCGAAAATTCAGTGCGCACTTATGAAATTCGCATTTATTCAGTCGTCCCGTGTGAAAGGGGTATAGAAAGAAGTTTTTTAATGAAATTTATAAATTTAGTTCTTTAATAGATAATAAGCGATTCAGGTAGCCATTTAATAGATATTTTGCTCTACAATAATAATAATTATCATTTTCTTATAAATACTAGCTTCTAATTAGTTTAATGCTTAAATAATTATTTGCTCGCTTATATATGTATACAAAACATATAATCTCAGGAACACTGTATATAACATTTAATAGTATAAGTTTATTACAAATTTTATTGATAGTAATACAAGTTTTACCTTTTAAAAGCACATCACAACTTACGAGATGTAGTGATTAGACAAACCCTTGTTTGTCTAATCACTACATCTCGTAAGTTTGGATATTGGAAACTCTGGTTACTTTTCATATTAGAAAGAATTATAAGAATTATTTACTAGCGATATAAATAAACCTATACAAAATGATTAAATAAAAATTTTTATCAACATAGGATATGTTTAAAAATATGGGATACGCTCGGTGTAGTTAAGGCGATTCACAAAATATTTGAATACTTTTATTTGGAATTAGCATGGTTTAGTCAGCATATTATGCCCAAACAAGATCTTTAAATGTTATAATTTTTTTTTGCTTAAGGTTTTTATAATATTTGAAGAAACTGCCGAAAAAAGCTGCCGAAGCCAGAAACAAACATTTCCGGGAGTACAGACTTAGCTATGCAAGAAAATTTTCTAGAAAAGATTGTAATCAAGATATCATCAATAGGTTATTGTTAACATCCAACCCTCTGTTGTCCAGCATTGGGAAAAAGAAACTTTTCTTTTTTATATATAATTTAAAAAACCTTTTTATAACCTGTAATAATGTATCTAAAGAACACTATTATAGAGTCTTTAGATCAATTTCGCTCATCGGCATTAACGTGAATTTAGTTAAAATCTTTTTAAAAAGTTACTTAATTTACTACTGATCCTAGTTCTAATCGGTTCTGACGTATATTAATTATATATAGTTGTCAAAACACAATATTTCTATCAATTTTCACAATAAATACTGGAATTCCGATCAAGAAAGAACTTATAATTATAAATAATTGCCAATAAACGATCAGAACAGATCATATTGTTAAACTATAATGTTCATTTCACCAAAAAATCGTATTAAAATAAAATTTTATTTAAATTTGGACGAGCGATTGCGATTTTCAGATGATTTTTAAAAAAAAAAAAAGATTCCACGGTCTGAGTTTTTTCGCTACAAACATTTATATTTTATGATACCGCAAAATTTATTATTTTAATTTTTTTCGTCTTTTAATTCACAGACTAGACCATTTCACGGAAATATGTCATAATCAACAAAATATCATACAGACGCTATAATATTTTAAAAGTGCTTTAACTACACCGAGCGTTCAAACGTTGGGATACATTTGAACAGTTTGAAAGAATTGTTCATATTATGGGTTGATTTAACGTCTAATGAAATATTAAAAACGCAAAATACTTAATACAGTAAGTCTTAAAATTAATATTATTATAGTATAAATTATACAGTAATGTATAATATAGCTTATAGAGTAAACATAAAAGTAAATGTAAAGCATCAATTAAACTTTGCTTTGACAGCAACAGTAGTTTGGACCACAACCTGAACCTTTACACGATTTGTATCTAAATATACTAAGACCCAATTTATAAGAATCTTTATCTTCATCATAATTATCAGCAAGTGACCGAACATTTTTGTAAACATGCAAAGATTCTAAGCAGGACCATTGTTGGTTCGGCCCGTTGATAGCTATATTTGTACCTGAAAAGAAACGTAAAAATCAAGAAACATTATAAGCAGTGTTACGAAATGTAGAATGTGAACATAAAATGTGAAAGAAATGAAATGCATGAAACTATGAATAGAAAATGAAAATTTCAGAAAGATTTAACAAATTATTCTTATTTATTTTAAAGATCAAAAAAATGTGTCGTTTAGTTTTTCTTATTGACCCATTTTTTCAGTCAATATAATTAACTTAACAAATAACTAATAACAAACAACTAAAAATAATAAAATGCCACAAATCTTTGCATTCAAAGCAATATATTTGATTGGGAAGCACACACAACAATCACCATATCACTATATATTGTGTTTAAAAATTGTAGTTAGTCATGAAAAAGCAGATATACAATTTAGCTCAGTATTGAACAGCACAAAAAATAATAGCATTTAAAAAAGTAGGCCACAAGATGACAGTGAGCAAATGTGTTAAAACTCATTTTTTTAATTGCCTTATAATGCCAAATAAAAAACTAATACATTAGCTTTTTATATGACATTTCTTTTGTGTTTTGGTGCTGAGTAAGTAATGTTTTGAATACGGTTATTTACATAACATTAATGTTATTTAAATATCATTTATTTAAATATGTAAAGTATTGTCTCAGTTTTGGCTTTTTTGTTTGGTCTTGAACTTTGTTTTTATGTTTTTGCTTGTCTTGTTTTGAAAAATAATAATTTCTTTTGACTTGCTTTTTGACTTTTTTTTGTTGCTTTGTCATTTATCAATCTTAAGTTTCATTTCTGACAAAATCACTGATAATAATATGATAATCTTTTGTTATTTCATTTATACTGTATTTGTCATGCATAACTTTAAATTCATATAAGGGTAAGCAATCTTTCAAACTCATTTCAAATTCATAAATTAATAACTTAATAAGTGTCCGGTATTATTTAGTGTCTGGTGTTATTTAGTGTCTGGTGTTAATATATGTAAGTATAAAATATGCAACCTTTATTTACAGCTGCTGATGCGATTTAGTATGATTCAATAAAATTAGTTAAATGTATATATTTTTTTGTTTTATTTTATTCATATTTTTTTTAGAACTTTCCAATGAACATTTGAAAAAAGTAGAAAAAAAGAAATATTTTGCCATCTATAATTATATAATTATAGCTAAAAACAAATTTGTACCAAAAATCAATTACTAATGTATTTTTTAACAATGAGATTTTGTTCAGCCATGAACATGTATCTCTATATTTACATTTTATAATTTTTTAAATAAAAAATTTGTTTCAGAATCTTTTTTATCTTTTTCTTTTTCAGAATCTTTTTTATCTTTTTCAACGCACCATTTTTCCCAAAATGGTGCGTTGTGTAAATGAAGTTTTTTGGGTATTGTGTAAATAAAGTTTTTTGGGTATTGTGTAAATGAAGTTTGTATTTTTTTTCGAAAAAACGTTTTTTAGACATCTGGTATATTGTAGGTTGTTTCATTTTTTTTTCAAATATTTTTTAAAAATATTTTTATTAAAAAAAATTTTTTATACACATGTAGGCGTACGTGGCGTGTGAGTGAGCGAGTGTGTGTGTGTGTGTGTGTGTGTGTGTGCGTGTGTGTGTGAATATATATTTGGTATAAAGTTAAAAACAAATTACTCTGTTTTTTTAGCTCTAAGTTTGTACAAATATCATCGCAAGTTAAAGTTCCTCCACATGTTCTTCTTACAGCAAATATATAACCTGGGCTTGTAATAGGAATTGATGCACAAATAGACATTGCCATTTCATCTAGATAATTATAGAAATAAGATCTGAAATTCCGTCGAACTCTTCTATTTTCTGTGTTATCATCTTTTGAAAAAAACTCGCCATTCTTCAGGTCTAAGGAAAAAGGGTATATATTATTTCAAAGTTTACAGAATATTCAATTTTTATATTATAATATTTTATTTAAATAGAAGTGTCTAATATAAAACTGTAATAGTTATATAAAACAAATTAATTCATAATTCTTGCATATATATATATATATATATATATATATATATATATGTATATATATATATATATATATATATATATATATATATATATATATATATATATATATATATATATATATATAAATATATATATATATATACATATATATATACATATATATATATACATATATATATATATATATATATATATATATATATATATATATATATATATATATATACATATATATATATGTATATATATATATATATACATATATATATATGTATATATATATATATATATACATATATATATATATATATATATATATACATATATATATATACATACATATATATATATATATATATATATATATATATATATATATATATATATATATATATATATATATATATATATATGCAAGAATTATGAATTAATTTGTTTTATATAACTATTACAGTTTTATATTAGACACTTCTATGTAGCTGTCCCATCTGCCCCCCCCCCCCAAAAAAAAAAAAAAAAAAAACTCTAAGTTTGGTCGTGGACAGCTGTTCAAATTTTTGGTAACTGGTTTTGGCCTAAAAACAACCGCTATTAAATTTTTTCTGCAATCTGATTACATATGAGTTAGCCCAAGTGACTTGAAACTGTAAAAGAAAATGATAAAAGAAACTTGAAACTGTAAAAGAAAAAATCTTGATAAAATCTTATGAGCGTTTATTTTAACTTTGTTTAGTATTATTTAATTAACTTTGATTATTTTTCAGGTTGTTAATGTGCCCAATCAATATGTGCAATAAATAATATATAACATAAATTAACAAATTAACAAGACATAATGATCGCTATCTACAAATGATATTAGAGACAACTCCTGGTTTCAATGACAAGAAAATAAAGAGACAAATTACCAACAATTAAGCAAGTTATTCTTTGCCTGCTTGCAAACCTTATGGTTTAAACTTTAATGAAGCATTAAAGTGTCTTGAAGCATATAATATAAAGTCAAATATTCCTCCAATAAGTGAAAGAAACAACATTGGCCAAATAACCAAGAAAGTTTATAATGCACTTATGAAGTTAATGAAATGCAATAAAAATCAAAGACATTTGAATAACCCAGGAATCAAGAAATTTAATATGTTTTTGAGCTTCCATATCTAAAATATAGAAGCTCAAAAACGACATAAAACAACTAAGGAAAAAAAACTATCAATGCAGACATTACTTTCATGCAAAGCATAATAACTGTCAAGAAAGCATCTTATTCAGGAATTGACAAAGTCTATGCAAAGGTTGTTAAAAGAAGGTGGAAAATAACCTATGATAAAGCTTTTCCCAAAATAGACCATTCTGTAATTTTCAAAGAAACTGTTGAGTTTGAGTTAACCAACAGGTCTTGTGATTTATTGGTTAAGGCGAATGCTAGACCCAGCTCAGCCTGCTCTGAAATTGAAAGATTGCACAAAAGGCAAATTAAATCTAGTGAACACATATTTGTTCCACATGATATTCTCAAGAATCCAAGTGCTATTGACTTGAGTGTGAGGAACAACATAAGTAATACTAAGATGAATTCATTCATACATTTAATGATATTTGTCAGCGGAGGAGATGTTTCAAAGATAAATTTAAGTTCCAATTCAGCCCATTGATATCAAGCATCAGCACAGCCTCATATCAGCAAAAAAATAAAAGACAAATGGAATCCATTTCCAAAAATGGTGGTACATTGGGACGGAAGACTGATGGCTACCCTGGACTCCAACGACACCAATGATTGTTATTTTACTTGTTTTAATATCCGGAGTCAATGATAATAAACTTCTTGGTGTACAACCCCTTCCAAGTTCAACCTCAAAAACTGATCTGAGACATGGCAACGTTGTCCCTGTTGCAACAAAAAATCTGAAATGCGACAACTGGTAAATTTGAAATGCGACAAAAACGTCATAGGCATGGTCTTTGACACAACATCCTCGAATACAGGTTGGACTATGATAAAGGAATCATTTATTAAATTTTGTAATATTTTAATAGTTTATTAAATTTAAAATCAATTATCATTTTTGCACTTACTCTAGGATTACAAATACTGTGGAGGTTTTAAGATATGGGCTAATTGTAAAACTTTTATTAAAGAAATAATTCATTCACCCTATACATCACAGGACAGCATACTGCAATACGTGTCTGCCTAGAGAGATAGCTCGACAGTCACTTTTTGTGGTTTGCACGCCGTAGACATGTAGGAGAAGTCATGCTTAGCAATAGTTGGGATTCATTAAATATAAAGGGTTCATCCGGTTTAAATATTCATTTTTAAAAGGTAAGCCTAATGCTTTAACAACATCATAGAACAAACAGATTTTTTAACAATTATTAATCATTTGAATCTGTAACAATTTATAATCATTTGTTAGTTAATTGACTCAAGTCAATTAACTAACAAATGATTATAAATTGTAACAGATTCAAGAACCACTAGTTGCAACTTCCACCAGTTAATAAAGCAAACTTTTACAATCCTAAACTTCCTAGAGCAACTGAGAAGGAACAAGAAAACTTAATAAATTGCTTCCGTGCATTCTTAGCGTAAGATTTCACTTGAGGGGATTACCAACAACTTATTGAACTCAGCCTGTTGTTAGTTACAAAAGGTCCATTTTTTGAAAACCAAAAACTTATTATATTACTATATAATATTAGTCATAAACTAAATTTAAAAATTGTTAAAAAACTAAATAAATTTACACAAACTAAATTTAAAAACTGTTAAAAAGATTGCAGATAAAATAAAAGCTTACAAGAAAATATTAGTCATAAACTAAATTTAAAAATTGTTAAAAAGATTGCAGATAAAATAAAAGCTTACAAGAAAATATTAGTCATAAACTAAATTTAAAAATTGTTAAAAAGATTGCAGATAAAATAAAAGCTTACAAAAAAAATATTTAAGTTATTAATTGATCAACTAAATTTAGTCTATGGAATTGAAAAAAATTACTTTTTTCTTCGATTGCGCGGAAGTCATTTTTTTCTTCAGAACCATCGGATAGCGTCGAAGGTTTGCAGAAAGCTAATAACGTCAATTTAAATAAAAATACACATAAAAAAGTAAAAAATGTTTAAAAAAAATGTAATTTAACTTAAAAGTTTTCCAAGATCTAAATAAAAATAATTTAAAAAGTAAACCAAAATAAAAATGCTTAGACTCGCCTATGACCACCATACAAGCAAGTTGCACAAATACTTTCATGTTTTTTTAGAAAAATCTTCTTTATTATAACTAAAAATTAAAAGTTAAAACAAAAGCATGGCAAGAAAGTGGTAAATTATACCGCCATTATATATTCCGCGTTACTAAATAAATAATTTTTGTATAAAAAAGTTAACATATTATAAAAAAAAATATTACTTACTTAAATTTTTATTGAAGCAGCTGAATAAAGTTGATTTAAAAGCTATAGTACGGTATCATCTTTCAATATCGATTTTGAAAGATTTTTAAATATTTTTATGGTCCAGCTGTTGAAAGGTCAATTAAATTCTTTTTCCATATTGATCTTGTTAACAGACATATTAAAAGCTGATTAAGGTGATGAGAAGAATAGAAAACAATCATTTTACGTTAACAAATATGAGTAAAAAAACCTAATTATAATCTTATATCTGATATATTTATTAGTAAGTTATATTTTCGGTCTTTAATGAAAAATATAGGCTTTTCAATGTAGAAAATATTTATATTTCTGTTGCTTTTACACCAGAAATATAAAGCTTTTTTCCAAGATGCATAATTTTAAATTTTTCTTTTATTGAAGTGAAATAGCCAATTTGCACATGTTTAAAAAAAAACGTGTTGCATCGCACACAAGCAACTTATAACCATTTTTTGCCATGCTGAGAATATAATATTAATTTATTTTCTACGAGATGTTCCACCAAAGTGCCATTCATTTTTTCTCTCCATTACTTTGCATATGACAGAAGGTAATGAAACAGAAAGATAATTTGTTACTTTAAACTTGTCTCCTTTTTTGAATAAAAGAATAACATTTGCACACAAACTTGCATTCAAAAGTATGCAATTTGAATAAGATCAATTAAAAATAAATGATAATGAAAGTTAGATAATATTTGATCTTTCCATTCAAACCCTGCGTGCACATTCTTCAGTAGATCAACTTTTTTTCAAGGTGTCAATTTTTATTTCTTGATTCGAAATTAGTTTAGCAATTATCTTATTAACAGCTGTTGTTAAACTTATTTTTACAATTATATTTAATCGTTGTCACTAATTTACATACAATGATGCATGTGAACTTGAATGCTTGTTCTTAAATTTTGCAATGCAATAAATGCAAAAATATTTTAAAGTAGTTTATTGTAAAAATGTTTTTTCCCAAAATGCAGTTTCAGCCAAATATACTCACAAATTTGAGTCAATCGATGACAGACACATTTTTTGATATTTTAATCCTTTGTGATTTTAAATGTCTGTCATTTCGATTTGCAATTTTGGAGTAGATTTACTATTATTTTTATCTGATGTATTAAATGGATTGCTAAAAAGTATTTAAAATTTAAAATTTTAATCTTTAAAATTTGAAAATTAAAATTATATTAAAAGTTTTAAAATGTCTGAAAGGTGCTTTTGTATTTGCAATACTGGTAACCATACTTTCAATATAACATTTTTTAAGTTCTGGAAACAGTTAAAGGTCTGTAATAAACTGTTTGAAATTTTTTTAGTTGATTTTAAATGCATTATTTTGGTTAAATACTGTTAAAAATAACTGTTTTCACTATGCAAGTTTAGTTTTCACTATGCAAGTTAAAATTCAGATAATCATTTTTTATTTTTAAATAGTTACTCTATAATAAAAATTCATTTTTTCTTTTCAAAAATTGTAACAACTCATTTGTTAATTATAAATCTTGGTCAACCTTTTACCAAATGCTTCACAAAAGATAAATAAACAAAATCCTTGAAAAAAAAAGTCTTTGGTTGCCATGTAACCACAAAATAAACATAAAAATGGGCCAAAAATGCATTTACACAAGCCATAAAAACCAAATAACCGTGCAAGGTCTCATAATAACCTTTTACCAAATGCTTCACAAAAAGTCAAAGGATGTTTTAATAGAAGCATTTCCCTAAAAATCTGTGCACAATCAAAGATGGCAAAAATATTTTTTATTCAAAATATTGAAAAAAAAAATCTAAAACTCGGATTAAAAAAATGTTTTATCAAAACATTGCTCTTAATGAGAGAAATAACTTTAACATAATTTAACATAATTAGTAAAATGGTTCCTGTAATAAAATAGCTGGCGCACAGTGGGTCATATATTAAAGTTAGTGTGGACAAAATTATTTTCATACTTTTTTTTTTAGTAAAGAAATGTCCGAATAACTATCGTAAGTTAAGATATTTTTCCTTTTTCTTTATTTTTTACTTTTATTATAAATTTTGATTAAATTATTACGTAAACAGAAAATAATTATAAACTTTAAAAAGTTTAAAATTTTTTATATTTAAATTAGTTCAAGTTCTAATAAAGATAATATAAAAATAATATATAAGAGTTTCATCAACTTTCAATATCTCGGCAATTGATTTATAGTAAGCAAAAGCTTTGTGGGCAATATTTCCATTGTTACTAGTACCATTAGTTTCAACGGGTTGGTCATTAGAAATTTCGGCAATTTTTTTAGCAGTCTCAATTTTGTTGCATGAAGAAATTCAGAACCAGATAAACTGTTTATAACATTGTTAAGTTTTTTTTTTTTGTGTTCTGTTGCATGCTTTTTAGTATTAAACTGAGAGTTTTAAACTAGCCAATTTTTATTGATTTTCTCAAAATGATTAATATCATTGTTTGCACTTCCACAAAAAGTTTCCACTTTTTGCGATATACTTCTATAATGATTTTACCCCCACGATTTTTTAATTTAAAATCTACTGAAGCTAGGAGTGTTAATACTGATGAAAAAAATGATTTATCATTAGGAACTAGTTTGTTTTTTCTTATGTGTGTGAATTTTTATATTATATCTAAAATAAAAAACAAAAAAAGTATTGTTCCAACAGTACAATGTGCATTGAATTGGATTGGAGAAAAAAATAACATGCATTTTTGTTTGGGCGAATAAAACACATGACGTTTTAATTAAGTATTTCGATTTCAAGCAAATAATACGACTTGAAATTCGTACTTTTAAAATGTCAAATAAACCCAAAAAGGGAAATTAGGGGCAATGCATCTAATAGGTTACAGACATGTTGCATTTACTAGCTCAAGCACTCAATATAGATTCTCGTAGGTTACGGACTATGGCCTTTCCACGAGCTCCTGTTCTTGCTTATGCATTTATGGTACATATTGAAGAAAAATGGCTGAAATTATACAATGGAGCCAAGCTAGTATTTTACAAACGTTGCACAGTGACTCAAAACAACAAAAAAATGGCAATAAACCCCTCACCACTTTTTTATAAATTAAGTGCCCTTTGTTAGATAATATTAAAAGACAGTGATTTTTTATTTCAAAAGTAAAAAGTAATTTTTTCATAATGCTTTTATTTTGTATTTTATAGGTAAAAGAAGTGAAAAAATTTGATATTATTTTTAAAGAAATCTGAAAAATCTGAGGTTTTTATTCGACTAAATTAGAGAACTTGAAATTTAAATAAAAGTGTATATTTATTTTTAAAATAATATTTTGACCCTGCGGTATTGGAAGTTAATAAAGAAAAACAAATGTTGATGATTTTATAAAAACCTTGTTTTCCACCATTTTGCTAAGAACTTTATTATATCAAAACAAATGAAATTGGCGGGAAACTTAAAGCTATGTTTCTTGCTTGTAGAACTTGTTCTAATATAGTTTTTAAATCATAAATATTAAATATAATATTTATATATATATATATATATATATATATATATATATATAATATATATATATATATATATATATATATATATTATATTTAAACAATATCAAATGATCAGAAACTCAGGTCTTGTACACAACGTACATATTTATCCTACCTTGCACAACATTTTCGTGGAAAAATTAAAATGCTATCCTGAGAATATACATTTTTCTGAAATTTCTGCAAAGTGTACTCTTCAAAGCATGTTAGATCACACTGTGAGTAGAATAACAGAAATGATTGGTATGCCTAATTTTGATCAAAGTGATGAAATATTTGGAGTTTTATATGGAATGGTTGGTTTTGATGGAGCATCAAGCCAAAATATTTAAAAATAGAAATATGATACAAGCAACGCAAGTATAGAACTTGAGCATAAAGAAAATCTTTTCAGTACAGCTTTTGTGCCTTTATTGCTCAAAGTAGAAGATGGCGAAATTTGGAAAAATGAAAATCCTTCAAGCTGTCACTTTTGTAGACCTTTTCATCTACAATATAAAAAAGAGAGTCCAATTTTATCCAGAGAAGAAGAATCAGATCTAAAAAATCAAATAAATACCTTAAAGACGTTTTGCAAAGTTCTTAATATTGTAGGAAGAATTTTGACATTTAATATCAGCTATAGGATTGATCTTACAATGTTTGATAATAAAGTAGTTAGCGCACTTACAGAGACAAAATCCACTTAATCCTGCAATGTGTGCAATGCTAAACCCAAGGAAATGAACAATATTGATTTATTAAAAGCAAAAACTGAAAATGACTTGGCCTCGGGGCTCGGAATTTCAGCTTTGCATTGCTGGATAAAATGCTTGGAGTTCATTCTTCATTTGAGTTATAAAATTGAAATTAAAAAGTATAAGCCAAAAACAATTGAGGAAAAACTATCTGTAGACTTAAAAAAAAGAGAGATTCAGGTACTCTTCAGAGAACGGTTAAATCAACGTATAGATTTATTTTATAGACGTATAGACGTTGATATGCCTAAAACTGGGTCTGGAAACAAGAATGACGGCAACACTGCCAGAAGAGCATTAAAAAATAGTGAAGTTTTTTCTGAAATTACTAAAGTAGATTGTGATATAATTAAAAGATTGCATAATATTCTCATAACCATATCTTGTGAAAATCCTATTAATATCAATGAATTAGATTTATACTGCACTGAAACAGCTAAACGTATAGTGAGTTTATACAACTGGTATGTTATGCCTCCTACTGTACATAAACTGCTACTGCATAGTTCTTCTATATAAAATAAATTACCTTTGCCAATCGGGGTATATTCGGAAGATGCACTAGAGAGTTTAAATAAACAGATAAGAAATTCTAGACTTAAGCACACGGCAAAAATATCAAGGTTAAATACAATGATGAATCAGATGCACTACCTTCTAGTAAGATCAGATCCAAAAATATCAAGCAT